CCCTCCTGCTTCTGCTTTCTGGCCCAGTAGCCGCTTGTTGTTTGTGGTTTTTGCCTTTATAAGCAGCCTGTAAGCTGAGCTCGACGCTTCTCCTTTCCGAGTGAGGCAGGAGCCCATCTGCGCAGACGAATTGAATTAAATCCTCTTGCTTGTTGCATATCCTGGTTTGAGGACTGAGTTATTGGGGTGCGGCCTCCCGTGAAGGTTGGGTACCCCAGACTGGGGGTCCAACAAAAGGAGGGGCTGTGCCTAGTCACAAAGTGCTTCAGAACCATCTGTTGAGAAATGTGAATCTGATTCACCACCTCCTGCTATTTGACTTTGAGTTTGTTTCAAATCTTCACTATGATCAACTTTCTTACACAAAAATCTTCCATAATTTATGAAACGACACCTGAGAGGAAAGGGGGACACAATCTGTGACTGCCCTGACCAAAGAGGGATATGAAGTTCCACGTTCCATGATGCAAACTGTGCCCTTGAGGCCAGCAGTCCACATCAGCAGCAGAGTACCATGGCCACAGTGTCCCTAGGCCTACTGTCTGACAGAAACAAAGGTGGGCAAGGAGGGGCTGATTAGGGAGGGGTTAAAGATGGCCCAAGGTCAATGGTAACTGGGCTCTGGACCTGGAATATTCCAAACTCTGCACAGTCACTGATTTCAGTTCTTACCAGCTGATCAGCTTTGCAGTTCAGTTTCACAGTGCAGGTTCTTTCTGGGCCCTTTCATTTGAGTAACACAAGTGCTTAATAAAAAAATCTTAGTCCTTTTCTTGCTTTCAAGCTCATTTCTAGGATCCTTTCTTCAGGTAGATTTTTTTCTTTGCGGTTTACAGACTTTTCCTGTTAGGCTATCTTTTAGGCTCTGTATTTCAGTCACTGTTGCAATAAATTTTGCACCCAAATATAATCTGTTAATTTAAGTGGCTTGTTTCCAAAGATTGGTATTTTTTAAATTTATTTTATGTGTATGCATGTATTGCCTGTAAGTGCACCTGTGTCATGCAATGCCCAAGGAGGACAGAAGAGGTAATCGGATCCCCTGGAACTGGAGTTAAGGACAGTTGTTAGCTGCCATCTGGGTGCTGGGATTCGAACCAGGGTCTTCTGCAAGAACAGTCCGTATTATTAACTGTTGAGCCATCTCTCCAGCCCCATTATTTTGGTATTTTTGAGACAGGGTCTTCCTGTAGCCCCAGCAGGCCTGGAACCCACTATGTACATTCCACCTGCCTCTGCCTCCAGAGTGCTAGGATTAATGGCTTGTGCCACTGCCCCCAGCCTAAAGAATTTTTTTTTTTTTTTTGGTCTTTTTGAAGCAGGGTCTCTGTGTAGCCCCAGCTGTCCTGAAACTCACTATGTATACCAGGCTGGCCTTGAACTCACAGAGATCAGCCTGCCTCTGCTGGGACTACAGGTGTGTGCCAACATGCCCGGCTTAAAGAAATACTTTTTTAAAAAAGATTTTTATGTGTATGAGCATTTTGCCTGCATGTATGTATGTGCACCATGTGTGTGCCTGGTGCCTGTGGAGGCCAGCAGAGGTTACTGAATCCTCTGGAACAGGAGTGAGAGCAGGTTGTGAGTCAACATGTGGGAGATGGGAACTGAACCTAGGTTCTCTGCAAGAGCAGCAAGTGCTCTTAGCCACTGAGACATTTCTCCAGTCCTCCAAATAAGTCTTGCAGATACTGAAACTTCAATTCATAAAATTTTATGACAAAGCATATTCTTTTGACCTCCCTACCCCCAGCTATTAAGGAATGGCCTGTGGACAATATAGAAACAGATGGGTTGCAGTCTCCTTGACCTGTGACTCTGAAAATGTGAGGCTGACAATTATATCTAGGATGATTACCCTTATTCTAACGTAGAAAACTTCCAATTTCGCCATTTTCTTGAATTATAGAATTGCTTTATATAACTTTAACTGTATAGGCTTCACAAAAAAGTAGAGGGAGAGTAAGAGATTGAGAGAAAGGAAGGCTGTGTGAACAACTCTGCTTAGCACCCCTCACTGAGCATGCTCCCTAGAGACAGGCGTCTGCTCTTGGTCAGCCTATTTCCATTTGCTCTTAAACACAAGGCAATGCCTTTATCAGACACTGTAAAGAGTAATCTGTTTAAGGATAATGATAAAATTTCTGTGGGATTTATTAAATGACAGCTTGTTTGATTCAGGTAGGTCACACTTAATGTACTTTAAGGAAAATTTAATGAAAAATTCCCAGGGGTAATTACAATGTTTCCATTATGCACTTATTTTAGAATTTAGCTTACATGTAAGTGATCAACCTGTATTAATTTTCATTCCTTACAAAAAATACTGTACCTGTTAATTACCATATGCACTCAATACTCAAGGCTGATAATAAAAAAAAAGGGGGCAGGACAGAAGATGCAAATTTAGTAAATCATGTTGCAGGCAGCAAAGTGGCTTCCAGCCAGTCTCCCACGCAGACAGCTTAGGACGTTCCAGGGCCCTTACAGGAACACAACACTGGCACATCTAATTCTTAGAAAAAAGTATCAAATTCCCTTTTAATATCAAAATCCCCCTAGGGAGATGACACTGAATACTCTATTTTATGTGTGAAGAAACTGAAATCAAGAGAAATTAAACTAACTTGTTGAGGGTAAGGTGTGGAATTGGTGAGGGTATAAGGGGTCAAATGCTTCATGTATTTCCAAGCCCTGTACTATCAGACAAGACAGCAGTGACTGGACTGTCCAGGAATGTTCTTTGCTGTGACAGTCACAAAGAATACTCCTGCAGAGCAGGGCAGTGTAGGGCACAGACAGCCAGAGGGTTTCAATAGCAAGAACAATACAGCAAATAAAATAAGGAAAAAACCAATCTGATAACCTAGCCCTCAAAGACAGATACAGATCTTTAATTTAAAACTGAGAGTTTATTCATGGAGAAAACAGTTAACAGAACACCCTATAGACTTTTAGTTCAACAATTAAAATCTATTAAAAAGCCAACAGGGAGAGTTTGCAAACCTAAAAGAAACAAACTATTGTTCCTCTTTCCTCTGGTTTACATATATTTCAGCAAAAGTGATGGCTGTGGTTTTTTTCCTTAGGAAACACTTTTTCGTGTAGACATGATCTCATGTAGGTCAGGTTGCCTCTTGTTATGTGGCTGAAGATGACCTTGAACTTCTGATCCTCTACTCTGGAGTGCTGGGATAACAGGCAAGCACCACCACACTGGGTTCATGTGGTGCTGGGTATCGAACCCAGGGCTTTGTGCACGCTAGGCAAGCATTCTACCCACATTTGAAGATTCCTCTGTGAGAGAGAAGAATGAAAAGCTCAAAGAATTTGATGATGACTAGAGGGTAGGAAGTTTCTAATGGCTGGTTTACAGAACCACAAACTGTCGAGGCCACAGGATTACTGGATTTCCTATTAATAAAATTGGAGGTATTCACACTGCACAGACATGTACACTCTCTTCTACCTCCCTCAGAGGTAACGGCAGAGACTGAGAAATCTGTGGATTAACATAAGGCCTTGGTACGACCAACACACATACCTACCTCTATCTAACCAGAAATGGGCCTAGTCAAACACTTCTCTGAGCAAACTGTAAGCAGTCCAAGGCAGCAGTGAGATCAACAATGAGTTCTGCCTGAGTGAAAGAATGGAACCTCCAAGTCTCAGCTGTCAGGATTTAGCCTCGCCCGTTTTAATGGACCACTCTGGTCATCCCGATGGCATGAACCATCAGCGGTGATGTCTCTCTTTGTCTCCTCCATGGGTTCTAAAGGAAAGTCCTGGTCTGTGGCCAGTACCTGTCGAACAGTCATGTTAACACGAGCAGTTTTCAAGTAGGCGGCACACACCTGCCAGTCCTCTGTAGAACAGGGCTCAATCAGTGAATCTCTGGGGAGGTCAGCGGGGAGAGTGGTCTCTAGGCAGGGAGGTAAGCCTTCCCCATCAGGATGTGGAAAGACACGAGGAACAGCATGGTTCAATAGGCGGCTGAAACCCGACATTACCATGATGTCACCACTGTGCATAAACATGGCTGTGGGGGCCTCATCTCTTTTGAGGCCGCCCAGGAGAAAGATGGCAGACTGTCCAAAGCTGAAATAAACAAGAACAGGAAGTTTCTGTTATTAGTTATACTTGTGAAAATTGTAGTTTCAGATTGACAATTATTGTTCCTGAGTCCTCACATTTGTTTGTAGTATTTATTTGTCTTTCTGAGAAAGGGTCTCCCTGTAGCCCCAGCTGGCCTGAACTCATATGTAGACCAGGCTGGTCTTGAACTCCTAGAGATCCACCTGCCTCTGCTTCCCAAGTGCTAGGACTAAAGGCGTGCACCACCACGCCTGGCACCTCAATTTTTAATTTAAATATAATTTAGAAATTATATGTTAAGAGGCTGGAGAGATGTTTTAGTAGGTAAGACACTGGCTGCACTTGCAGAGGGCCTGGGTTGGGTTCCCAGCACCCACGTGATAACTAACAACTGTCCATAACTCCAGTTCCAGATGATCTGACACCCCCTCTGGCCTCCGCTGGCATTGCACACACAAATGCACGTACATACATGCAGGTAAAACACTGATACACATGGAACAAGTTGGCCTTCCCAAACCACTTCCACTTTGGTATCTTCTATGCTTTTGTGAAGCTCAAAGAGCAAGAATGTTAACATTGTGTGGATTGCTGAGTGCACAGCCCAGCACCATCACTCCAAGATTGACAACTACACCCCCATCTTCTGATCCGAGGCTCCCCAAATGTACTGTGTCTGTGTCTTTGTGTGCTATGATGAAGCCTGTGGCTCACTTGTCTGCCCCAGGGGAGGGTGCAGCACCTTGTCTTATGGGTTGCCCAGCTTCCCTGACCCCCTTTGGGACTGCTCTTAGGCCTAAAAGGGGGTTGGGTACCTCTCCCCTGACCACGAATGAACCAAGACCCCTCCAGAGCAATGAGCTCCCCCAGCCCTGTTTATAGCCACTGACATGTCTGAGAAACTTGTGGTCACTTTCATGTCCCTCCCTAACCTGAGAACTCTTGGGGGAAGTGTGAGCCTCCTCTCCCTGCTGTGGGTCATCCCAGAGCTATGGCTCATGGGAAGGATAGAGTGTATGTGTCCATGGGACAATGGGGAAGCAGCTTTGTAGCCCTTTCCCTTAGCTCTGCCTCCCTGAGACAATAAAATTGTCCTCTTAAAAAAGCAAAAGCAAAAACCCACTGATACACAAAGGAAAAAAAAAAGATGCTGGAGAGGCAGATCAGTAATTAAAAGTACTTACTGCTCTTACAGAGGAACCAGGTTGGGTCCCTAGCACCCCCACAGTGGCTCACAACTGTAACAAAGAAACTCCAGTTCCAGGGGCTCTGATGGCCTCTGTGGGCACCTACATACACAGTGCTCAGGAACTCACACACATAATAATGAATTAAAAATAATTACATGAGAGGCTGGGTGTGGTGGCACACACCTTTAACCCCAGCACTCAGGAGGGAGATGCAGGCAGAGCTCTGTGAGTTTGAGGCCAGCCTGGTCTCTATAGTGAATCCAGGACAGCTGGGGCTACAGAGAGAACCTGTCTCAAAAAGACAAAAAAAAAAAAAATAAATAAATTACATGCTACTTTTTTGTCCCCCTGTGTTTCTTTTTGTTTTTTTTTTGAGACAGGGTCTCCCAGTAGCCCCAGGTGGCCTGCTTGCTATGAAGATCAGGCTGGCCTCTAACTCAGAGATCCACTTGCCTCCGTCTTCTTTAGTTCTGGCCTCTGTAGATCTACATGCATAGAGTACACATGAAGTCATACACATAAAAATGAATTAAAAATAAGTACGTGTTACTTTTTAAAAATGTTTGAACATGCGTGTATACCAGGGTAGGTATGGAGAGGTCAAAGGGGAACTTGGAGGAGTCAGTTTTCTCCTTCTGCGATGCTAACCCCAGTGACTGAACTCAGGTTATAGGACTTGGCAGCAGGCACCTTTATTCACTAAGCCATTTTGCCAACCCCTTAATTATTTCTGATGTGTGAATACTTATGTGTGGAGGCCAGAGTTTAATCCTGGGTTGCAGGATAAGGGTGTACTTATGTACATGCAAGCAAAAACTCATACACATAATTAAATAAATTTTATTAAAAAAATGCCTTACACAAAAATTAAATGACAAAAAGTAGTATCGGTGGAGCATGATTGTGCACACCTTTGATCCCAGCAGAGGCAGAGGCAGAGGCAGGCCAGCCTGATCTACAAATGAATTCCAGGCCTGTCACAAACAAACAAACAAACAAACAAACAAACAAACTCACTCACTCACTCCCAGGAACTAATTTACCTGAATGACAGCAAGGGTTTGGAGTGATCTAGTTCTGATCTGTCCACATGGATCCCCAGGGTGGAGTCTAGGCGGTAGTAATTCAGAATACCTGCTTCTGCTCGGAAACCTTGAAATCCACAGGCAGCTGCTACTTGCTCTGAGAGGAAAGCCAGGTCAGAAGGGAAAGGTGTATAATGATCTGCTGAGTATTTCTTTGGTAAAAGTAGGGAAAATAAGAAAAATAAACAATGATCTCAGGAACACAGGAAACTATGGCATAAGATAATTATCCACTTTAAAAATCTCACAAACTACTATTAATACAATATTGCTCATCTGTTTGGCATCCTCTACCATGGTTCAAAGGTGGGTTTTTTTTTTTTTTTCTCTTTTTGAGATAGGGTCTCCCTGTAGCCCCAGCTGGCCTGGAAGTCAGACTGGCTTTGAACTCTGCCTCTGCCTCATAGTCATTCTTCTGCCTTTGTCTTCTAAGTGCTGGGATAACAGGTATGTGCCATGATGCCTGGCTGGTATCTATCCATTCTTGAGGCAGCTAGTAATCTAATAAATTACTCAAGATATTCAGTACCCACTGTATGGCAGGCAATGTGTAATGTCTGCTAACTTCATACTTTATGGAGTCTATACATGAAGCAATTATTACAACATTCTCTAGTATACTTGAATCCTAACAAGATAATTCCCCTACGTTAAAAGGCAACTCAAAACTGTCATTGTTGAGAGTCTAAGGAAACATGATGACCCAATGTAATGCAGTACCTTGAATGAGGCTCTGGAACAGAAAAGGGCATTAGTTAAAACACTAAGGAGACCCAAAAGAACTAAGAACTTCACTATTACAATGATGCATTAATGGAAGATGCTAAAAATAGAAGCAAATGGGTAGGGCATCTTGTACCCTCTTCTCAACTTTCTGAATATCTAAAGCAAGTTTTCTATTAGCTTATATGAAGTATACATAAAAGTAGGTTTCATTGTGACAGTGTCATCCATGCATGTAATGTTTGACCATACTCACCCCTCAATACTCTTGTCTCCCTCCCACTTCCATGGATCCCCTTCCTCTTCCCTTTCTATTTTCAAGTCCTTTGTATGTATATGTGACCTGACTGCTTACAAGAATATGGGTTAGAGGTAATTTAAAAAAGCATGGGCACCTTACCAGTGGCTACCCCTGAAGAAAATGTTTCTTCTTCCCTAGCAACCATTCAGCACCTTTAGATCCAGAAGGAAAGGGAGGACTTTGTGAGCCCCTCTCCCTGAAGGTTATGAGGACTGAACTACCATTCCTGGCTTCCTAAAGGTCATTTTAATAAAAGGAAACCTGGCTTGGTGCCAATCTCCCCAGTCAATCTGATGACATGTTCAAAGATCTGCATTAAGTCTGACTTATATCATATCATGGCCAAGGAAGGATCTTAAACTATGGAGCCCTGGCTGACCTTGAACTGAAGAGATCTGCCTGCTTCTGCCTCCTGAGTCTGGGATTAAAGGTGTGGCTCAGAAAACCCATTCCCCCCCCCCCCCCGGGCCCCTCACAATTCAACTAGTATTCTGATGCAGTCTAATAGGAATATCAGTTACAGATGGGGCCAGAAGTCAGTTTTAACTTCAGGTGCACAGAACATTCTTGTGAGATCTGTGATAGATGGCTTCCCTTATTTGGTTGGTATTTCAGTTTTTATTATTTTCTTTTATTCAAGAGCAAATAAGAGTTTCTACTTAATTCTTAAAATGAAAGATATACTTAGAACATTAAGGTTTCCTCTATTATTTATTTTGTTTTGAGACGGAGTCTCCTTTATAGTCCAAGTTGGCCTAGAAATCACTATGTAGACCAGGCCAGCCTGGTCTCAGAGAGATTGTCCTACCTTTGCTAAGGATTACAGGTATGCACCACCAGGTCTGGCCCAACTAAAAACAAAATTATTTACTTTTATTTGATGTATATGAATGTTTTGTCTGCCTGTATATAGGTATACCATGTGTATGCAATGCACAAGGAGGCCAAAAGAGGGCGTTGAGTCCCCTAGAAGTGAGTTATATAGAGTTGTTAGTTGTCATATGGGTGTTGGGAACTGAACCTGGGTTCCTGGGTCCACTGCAAGAGCAGCCATTGCTTTAAGCACTGAGCCATCTCTCTAGCCCCCCTTTTTTGTTTTACTATGTAGCCTGCTGTAACCTTGATTTCACAGAGATCTACATGCTTCCACCTTCAGAGGGCTGGGATCAAAGGCATGTACCACCACACTTAGCTTCTCTATTATTTTAATCTTTGGTCCTTTAGAAGACAGCAGGGCTGAGGTTGCAGAGTCTTTGCTATGAGGAAATAGTTGTGTTTGGGTCTTCAATCCTATTCACACTGCCTATGCACTATTCTCTTAACTGTCTACTCATTTTGCTAAATTTTCCTCCCTATTTTCTTTTCACTCTTCTTTGAATACTCATGCAATTTTGGATACTGTTCACATCTCATTTTCTTAGTAAAAAGACCAATTTTAGGTCCTTAGGAAAAAAAGATCAAATAAAAATATCATTAAAAACAATAGCTTTGGGGCTGGAGAGATGGCTCAGCAGTTAAGAATACTGAAAGTTCTTGCAGAAGACCCGGGTTCAGATCCCAGCACCCAAATGGCAGCTAACAACTGTCCATAACTCCAGTTCCTGGGGATCCTCTTCTGTCCTCTGTGGGCATTGCACGACATGGGTGCACTTCCATACCTGCAGGCAATACACACACATAAAATAAAAAATAATATTTAAAAAAACAAAAAAACCCAATAACCTCTTCTATGTTAGTGTATCTACCTGCTTAGAATAGTGAGGTACTGCTGTAATGCCTATACTAGCATTAGTCAATTAATCTAAAATTTGAGATAGGGTCTTGTTATACAGCCCAAGCTGACCTTGAACTAGTTCTCCTGTCTCTGCTTCCTGAGTGCTGGGATTAGAGGTATGTGCTACCCACTCAGCTCTTTAACATTTTATTTAGCTCAGTTCCCTCCCACCCCCGTTTCTGAGATGGGTTCCATCATGTAGCCCTGGCTGGCCTTGAACTCAGAGATCTGCCTGTTTTGCAAGGGAGACTTTAA